AGGGTTGTGTTCTGTTTTGGTACATAGTGCATTATGTATATGAATAAAATGCACTTAAAAAGAATGTGTACTTGGGTTATAAAGTGACTATGAGGTTGTACACTTAGTATGTAATATTATGATAGTACTTGGGCTAGAAAGTGAGTTTGAGGTTGTCTTCTGGTAATATTAAAGAGGCTATCTTCTGGTAATATTATGATAGTACTTGGGCTATAAAGTGAGTTTGAGGATGTGTTATGTTTTGAAACAGAGTGCATTATGTATATGAATAAAATGCACTTAGAAAGAATGTGTAATTTGGCTATAAAGTGAGTTTGAGGTTGTGCACTTAGTATGTAATATTATGATTGTGAGTTGTTAAAACAGTTTTTTTAGTTTGTGTTTTGAGATATTGTTCCTTGAATCTAAAAAATGCATTTTGGACGCCAAATCAGTGCACATATAGCAATTGGGCTAAAGTGTGTTTGTATTTGGTTGATGTGCATGTTGTTATGTAATATATGTAAAGGTCATGTCTTAAAAAGAATGTGTACTTGGGTTATAAAGTGACTATGAGGTTGTGCACTTAGTATGTAATATTATGATAGTACTTGGGCTAAAAAGTGAGTTTGAGGTTGTCTTCTGGTAATATTATGATAGTACTTGGGCTATAAAGTGAGTTTGAGGATGTGTTATGTTTTGAAACAGAGTGCATTATGTATATGAATAAAATGCACTTAGAAAGAATGTGTAATTTGGCTATAAATTGAGTGTGAGGTTGTGCACTTAGTATGTAATATTATGATTGTGAGTTGTTAAAACAGTTTTTTTAGTTTGTGTTTTGAGATATTGTTCCTTGATTCTAAAAAATGCATTTTGGACGCCAAATCAGTGCACATATATCAATTGGGCAAAAGTGAGTCAAGTGCATTTACTTATGATATAAAGTGAGTTTGATGTTGTGATAAAGTTTAATTGTAATTGGATCAAGATGCAGTATATATAAAAAGTGATAAAGTTTATGGTGCAGTGTTAATTGTTTGAAGTGCATGTACTTAGAAAACAAAGTTATTTGGTAAATGCATAGCAATGTTATAGTGCTTCCCCTTATGCAATAAAGTGGAATTACACAATACAGGTTCGAGTGAAGCAAGATTGCAGCTTGTGAGGAATGATAAAGGGAAAGGAGCAACACCACCAACAACAAATGAAAATTACCAAGGTGGTAGAGTGAAGAGACTGAAAAAACAAACACAAGGGCAAGAGAGTGATGACGACTTCGAGATACAACCATGCCAAGGTGGTGGTGGAAATGAGGTTGTGAAGAAAATGGGAAAGCAAAATATTAAGGAAAGCATCAAAGATGTGAAGTCAAAGTATTTGACAATACGTACAAGGTCTTCACCTAATTTGCTTGTTAAAGCAATGGGTAGGATGACTGATGCTCAGAAGCAAGCTGTAAAGAACATTGGTTTTGGTTCATTGTTTGAAATGCAAGTTTCTGAAATACCAGGCAGGATGGGATTTTGGGTGGTTGATAACTTCAATGCTAAAAAATGTTCATTAGTGCTACATGATGGAAAAGAGATGCAAATAATGGAGGAAGATGTTGCTCGAGTATTAGGTTTCCCGTTGGGGGGGACAGAAAATTGTGGACAAAAAATGTTCATTAGTGCACTACTTCTTGCATGGAAAGCAATGTTTCCAAAAGAGGAGTCAAAAATTAGCCCGACAGATGTTAGTGCAGCAATGCTTAACATGAAAGATGGAGGTGATTGGTTCAAGAGGAACTTCATTGTTCTTATGGTATCACTACTGCTTGAGAGCACTCAGAATGGGTATGTTAATCCAATGATTATGAATCATTTGGAAGATGTTGACAAGATAAAAGATTTTGATTGGTGTGACCATGTGCTGAATTGTTTAATTGATAGTAAAGTGTCATGGGAGAAGAAGAAAAACAAAGCTTTTACGGGCCCTTTGTTGTTTTTAATGGTAAGTTCAAACGTAATGTGCTTATTTTAATTATAGTTATATTATTTTAATAGCATCTTAAGTGTAATAACAATTATTGGTGTTGCAGTTGTTCTATGTTGACAGAGTGGTGGTGTACAGAAGAAAGGTGGATAGAAGTTTACCTATCATGAAACTGTGGAATGGGAAACTTCTTCGGGAGAGAGAACTGATGGAAATAGAAAGTGGGGGTTTTGGGATGGGTCGCTGCGAAGGACCATTCATTTCGGAACAATGTATGCAGAAGGACAAATCACATGGGGAAGGAGGAAGTGCAGACAGAGTTGAGGTGCAATATACTGATGGTGATAATCCTGAGGTAACGTGTAATAATAGTGTGATTCAATATGTATAAATTGTGCACCTGTTTTTTAGAATATGAGCAACTAAATTAACTATACATTGCATCAAAAATTTCAGGAATTTGTGAAGAGATTCGCTCAGAAAACTAATCTCTTGGCTGCAACTGTGATTGATGTTCTGAACATGTGTGAACAAGCACCAACAAACTTAAATGAAATAGAGAAGTTCATGAAGATGCAAGAAGCTGCGCAACACTTAATTGGAGTTGGGAAGAAGAAAAGAGTGGTGAATGCTACACAAGAAACAGATGGTAGAACTACCCAAGAGATAGAAGATGGTGAGTTCTGGGCAGAGACAATAAGTGCAGTTCAGAGGGTTGAAAATGCAAATGAAAAGAAGTCCTTGTACGAGAAAGGAATAGAAGAGATTCCAACATTTTCAATTGGGCTGACACAAGAAAAAGAAAACCCATTTCCAACAATATCAGAACTATGTGCTCAAATAGAAAAAGTAGTAAATGAAGATGCACAGCCTGAAGAACAATGTGAACATCAAGTTGTTGTGGGGAATGTGACACACAAGGAGAAGGAAGCAGAAGTTCTTGTTGAGGTAATTATCTGGTAAATGTTATCATATATTATTATTATATAATTTTTTAAAAATTAATGAGTATTTTTGGAAAATGATTGAAGTTGCAGAAACAAAACGTAAAAAGCAAGGCTGCAAACCATGAATTGGTTTTAGGTGAGAAAACAACTTATTTGAGGCCAAAGAGGGCAGGAAAGGCTACACAAGTATTCAAATCTCCTTTCATGTTAAGAGTGTTAGACCCTAATGACAAATCTAACCCAAATGAGAGAGTGATATGGAACTGGGTGATGCAAGCTGCTCCTGATAAGAGGTTAAATAGAAAAATGGTTAAATTCTTTAAGTGTTATTAATGTTATGAACTTAAATAAATAATAATAAACTGTTTTTTTTTTGTAATTTTAGGGATGAGATTGTTTTCAAATACAATCAAGTTTCAATCAAGCGAGGAGAGATGCTTAGCCTCGGGGAGAAAACCCACTTGTGCATGAACGTGTTAGACGTCTGGACAGTGTGCTTGAATAGGAAAGAGAAAACACGGAGTTCTACGTCACCGTGCAGATTGTTTGCGAAATCAATTCGTTGTGTAAGAATCTTAAATCACAAATAGAATTTATTGAATATTTATGTGCACCATAGAATTATTTCAGTGCACATTAGAATTCGAATATGTGCATTTGTTTGTAGTTGTACACAATGGATAACCCACTCCCTGAAGACCAAACATATGAAGTGTATAAAGAAGGAATGGTTCTGGCATTGGAAGCCGTGAAACCGGATATCAAAATGGAAGATGTAGATTTGGTAAATTTAATATTTATATATGTGTGCATAATTAGTTTAGCATGCATGTAAATATATACGTGTGTAACTGAATTATATTTTTGATGCAGTTCTTTTTCCCAATAGTGCAACCAAAGCATTGTTATGTTGTGTGTTTCCACATGAAGAAACAGATTGTTGAAGTTTTGGACAACGTAGTCGATCAAATACGGTTGGATGAAAAATATGGTGAAATGCCATACACACTGGTGAGTGTCTAAATAATACGCATCAACATCATAATATGCACAACTTGTTTGAGTGACACATTTAAATTGTTTATCTTGCAATTATTTAAAACAGAGAGATATGTTTGTGGACTACTTTACTGAAGTGGGGCTTGATAATGACTCCAATACATTTTACAAGCCAAATCTAAAGAGATTGACAATGATTTGGAGAGAAGCTAATAATGTGCATGATTATGGCTTGTGGAGCATGAGGCATATGGAGACCTACATGGGCAAAGGCGTCAAGGGTTGGGATTGTGGAGTGAAGAAAGGAGATGCAAAGGAACTGAGTGCATTACGAGTGAGGTATTGTGCAGCACTCATCACATCAGACGTGAATGAGATGAAGGACAAGAACTTGGATGAAGTGAAGTCATTTGCGAAGGGGAAAAATATTAAGAAATAGATGTGAATTTGGGACTAAACAATTGTTTGATGCCTTGAACATTTGATTGCGTGAATTTGGGACTAATTATTGTGCTTGAACTTTTATATTGCGTGAGGCGTATTTGTTTTTTTAAAAGGCGTGATGCCATGAACATTTGATTTTGTTGGTTACCAACACAATTGGCGTTTTTCGAATATAATTTAATTTGGTTTAGACATTATTGTGTGACTTATATTATGATTTTATATGGTGTGGTGAATGCAAATATTTACGAAGTTTGTTCATACGAGTGCAATGGAAAAATTAAAGCACACAGGTATACATTATGCACAATGTATGAGTACATAGTCCATATGTATACATAATTGTGTCAGAGTTTTTTTTAAAAAAGCACTGTTTTCATAATACAATGAAACTCCTTGGTACAAATCATGAAGTATTTGATGAATAACAATACATTTTAATTGATTAATTAATGTGCAAGTAAGTAAATTAGTCCAAGTGCAAACAATTTTTATTCCAAAAAAAGTGCAAAAAGTAATTTGAGATGAACGTAAACTGCATTGTGATACGTATTGTGATGTTGAATTTAGAATACACGATTGAGTAATTTAAAAACCGCAATAAATAAAATTAACAAATATTTTCAGGGTATCAATAACAACTAAGAACAAACTTATCAATGGGTACTAATTTATAATATTTGGTAATGTAAAACCAAAACAAAGAATTGCAACAATAAATTAAAAAGAATAATCATTCGTATGAGTTCAAATTACAATTACTAAAAGAATGGTCATTCATCAGAGTTTAAAGGACAATTCCTACTGTCATGATACCCTTTTTGATTACATGTTCTACATAATCTCTTAGTCTTCTGGCTCACTTCAATTGCTTTCTCCTTGCCACCTTTAATCCTCTTACCACAACCCTTATTTCGAGCCTGCTGAGGTGGATGCACGCTAAGTTGTGTAGGAATAGGCGACCCATAAAAACCTTTGATAACATCACTTTTTGAAGTTGCTGCTGCAATACTTGGTTGAGAGCTAGACAATAATTCCTTTTGCACTTTAATGGCATCTGAAAACTGCTGAAACAAGTGAGGTTGATACTCAATCATTCCAACACAAAAATGAATATCAGACCACAATGTCTTCATAGCTACTGTTTGTTCTTCAGTGCCAACACACTGTTGAAAAACACCATCTTCAAAAGCATTAAGGGGCTTTAGAATTGAATCTTTGCACCATCGACGTAGCACATATCTATCTGGAATTGCGTTGACCTTTTTATCTTTCAACACAAAAAAAATGTGACGACACAATATGCCAATCCTTTCAAAATGTTTACAAGAGCAAAGTGTAGTACCGTCACTCGTATTGTGCACAACTGTGAAATGTAAAGCTCGTTCATCTGATATGACATACGTAAAAACACAACCCTCATGCTGGAGACTAAGGACGGCACAAGAAAAACAGGCGTAACATATTTCCTTCTGAACGAGATAAAAAATTGAATGATTATTAACAGAGGAAGCATATCTTTCAATGTGTAATGGAGTCTTGTACTCGGGGATGGAGGACTCAGAAACTTTGGTCAATTGTGCACTCTTATGTCGTTGAGAATCCATTGCACTCTCAAACTGCATAAAAAACTCAACCAAACTGAAATTAGGATTTGTGAATTCATTGAAAAAATTATTTTCACTTTCAGAACGTGATGTAGTCCTAAGTAAACCCGCCATGAAAAGATCACCAAAATAAGCAGGAACCCACAACCTCCTGATCTCAAACATGTGCGAGAACCAATTATGATCAAGTAGGTCATATTCTCTCATTATATTAGCCCATCTCATCTCAAATTCAGTTGGCTGCAAATAATGACTCCAGACAATAGAATTCAATTCCTTCATAAAATTTGAGTCTTTACTCAAAACCGGACCAACTTTCGAACTCACCTTGGACATTATATGCCACATGCAAAATCTGTGACATGTTGTAGAGAAGACATGTGGAATAGCAATTTTCATGGATGGGTCTTGATTTTTTATGATGCACTCAGGTTCCCGTCCCATTGCATTTAAAAAACAACGAAACAACCAAGTATAAGATTCCACATCCTCTTTCAACAACAAACCCACGCCAAAAGTAATGCACTTTTTATGATTATCAACGCCAGTGAAAGGGGCAAAAACCATGTTATACCTGAATGCATTAAAAAAACACAATAGTGCATTGACTAATGTAACAATGTGCATTAATTTTTATGCACAATGTAAAGGCTAAGAAAAACAGAATTGTAGCATTAATAAAAATATAGGAAAAAATTAAATTATTTAAAGGGAATAATTAATTATAACACCAATACCTGTTTGTCTCATATGTAGCATCAAAAGAAACAACATCCCCGAATAAAGCATAGTTCTTTATGCACACTGGATCCGCCCAAAAAATGCGTGTCAACTGGTCACTCTCATCAACATCATACTCAAATGAAAAGGCTGAACAGATCTTTTTCTTTCTAAATAGCTTATCTATCAACATTTGGGCATCCACGCCAACTAAATAAGCCTTCAAGTCACGTTTAAAATTTTTAAAATCCACGGACGTAGCACCAATATTGGCATAACCCCCAACAGTTTCCTTATACAATCGGTAGCATTTCATTGTACCAATGTTTGCTTTAGCACAATCCAAAAAAAAATTGATGACCAATGTCAAGTTTCCTATTAACTTTTAAGAATGGCATCGAAGAAGCGGAAGACATGGAATGATTATGCCTCTCCTCGAAGAATGTAATTTTGTATCCATTCATGCATGCAAGCCTAAACACCACACGTGCTTTGCAATCACACCTATTAGAAACTGTGAGTCTTTTTTTGTCTTCATCATCAACACATACACCCGGAGTTGGTAAATCTTCAACGTCAGGTTGGTCTTCATTTGCAGATCCATCAGATTCACATAATTCAGTTGCAGCAGTGAAGTCTTCATTTTCAGTGCTCAACTGATTATCTAAATCCGCATTCTTGCAAGAATCACTCTTAGATGCAACCGTCTTAGCTTTAGTTACGTTTTTGAAACCCTGTCTATTACACACCATATGTTTCCACACAATAACACCATCACGAGCCCTATGTTGACTGCTTTTACGTGATTCAAAACCACAAATTGATGCATATTGATCATAAAAACGCATACCATCATTTAAGTTATTGAACAACATACCAACATGCGGTTTAAAAGCAGGGTCACAAACAGGTGTCCAGTACATAGTGGATCCCGGAGAAACTTGCATTGTATTAACATCAAATGATTGAGAAATTGCTGCAGAGGCACTAAAGTTAACGTCACTTGAACCTGATTGAACCATGCAGAGAAATAATTGACAAACACACACTTTAGCACACTGACTAAGGTATAAGTGCAATAACAAAACGCATATAAGAGCATCATAATAAACAATAAAGTGCAGAAGAAAAAAACAGAAATTTTAATATGAAAAAAACCCCATTTTTTAAAGATTGATATACACATTAACAAGGATTATGCTACACGTAGTAGACTAAAAGCGCAATATCCACACGAGTATGAATCATAATACTAAATATAGTGCACTAAAAAATAGTAAGAAATTCAGTTTGAACATAACACAATTTTTCAATCCATTATGCTTATACATCAGGAATCCTAAACTACAAGCGCATCACGTTTACAATATTCAAACAACATAATAAATAATACGTCAAGATTCTACATTGCCATGTCCAATTTGTATAGTATGTCAATCCAAAAAATGATAATTTTTTTTGTTAATATATTATCCAAAAAATGATAATATTAACACATATATTCATCTTCTTCGAACATAAATCTTGGAGAGTTTAAACAATAAGCAAAATCAAATAAACAATACTTATTGGACTCCATGGAGGAACGATAGCCTGGAGTAGAAAACCAACAACGGATGGTAAAGAAAACCAAATAAGTTATGTTCAAACTCGACAAGGAAAAATAGAGCAACGCAATCCGATCAAACAGTTTTCTACCACGATGAATTCCGATCAATACCTACGCACAAGGAGAGAACAACGAAGCAGAGGAAGAAGGACACATGAAGAACATATCTTAGGAAAGAATCGCGGAGAGACGGTTAAGGAAGGAATCATGCAGCGTTATTTTAGGAACTCTACCAACGTAAAAATGGAATTGACTCCAATGCCCTCTATGATGACTTAGGCGCACGAATAATTAGAAGTCAATCCAATGGTTGATACCTATTCTTTTTTGCTCTCCTAAGATTAAATTCTCACATGAACCTAAATCTATATATATATATATATATATATATATATATATATATATATATATAGGGAGCGGTTCTGGTAAGAATGGACTCCCAGGAGAGAAATGAGAACGAATCTGGACCGTCTGATTGTATTATGTGGATCTGAATTGTGCATTTAGTGAAACTGAAATGTGCATCAGATGATATTGAAATGTGCAGAATAAAAATTTAAACTCAAGTGTGCATTAGGTGAAACTGAAATGTGCGAAATAAAAGTTACTCCCTCCGTCCCGGAATTATCTTCATTCTTTCCTTTTCGGTCCGTCCCAAATTTATCTCCTTTTTCCCTTTTTGGTAAAGAATATGTGGTTCACAACCATTCTTACACATTTCTCTCTCCTCTGCATAACTTTACACTACACAAATCCCACTATCTTAAAACCCGTGCCCGGTCAAAACCGGAGTTAAATATGAGACGGAGGGAGTACAAAACAACATCACATCGTACCTTTTATTTTAGCGCATTTCAATTTCACCTAGTGCACAATTCAACTTCACATAATGCCACTATATCGTATCATTTGTGCTGCACAATTCAATTTCACCTAATGCACATTACAGTTTCATCTAGTGCACATTGAATTTCACTTAAAGCAAATCTAACGGTCTAGATTCATTCTCATTTCTCTCCTAAGATCATGTTCTTATTTGAACCAAAACATATATATATATATATATATATATATATATATATATATATATATATACACACACATACATATATATAACATGTGATGTTCAAGTGGTATAATATTTTCAATTGGGCTAAAATTATTTTGGCAAAGATCTGATCTAGTTTGGATTGATCTATTTAAGTTTGGTCTAACCTGATCTAGTATGACCAGGTATGGTAGATGCTTACTTTCTGTGTATATAACATTTGTCGAAACTTGATCTGATCTGGTCTGATCTAGTCTTTTTAAATTCAATTTTATCTCTGACTAAAACGATTTCTATTAAATACATCTTTAGTAATGTGTATGTCCTAATTCCTTATACTTAAGAGCTATACAAATTCATTTTTGTCGTTCATTTAGAAATGGTCTTGACCGTTCAGTAACCCTCCTTCCTTTGATTTCTTTTTTTTCTTTCCATCTTTTTCCACCGATCTTTTTCCTTTCGCAAGTGTTTTCCACATATCGATATGTGCTTCCGTAGCTGCAAGGTGCTCGAGGACAAGAAGTCCGAGAAGTAGGTTTTTTCCCATAGTGAAACATCACCGCCACATCCGCCGGCGCCACCGACACATCGACGCCCATTTCCCGGATGCATTTCAGTTCCTCTTCTTCATTCGCTCACCGCTTCGCCTACTTTTTCTTCTACCAATATATGCATTTCAGATCCCAATTCCTCCATTTCTTCACTCCTTCCATTTTATGGTGTTCACACAGCTATAAGTCAGACGGTCTTCTTCTTCTCCATCCTTCCTCTTTTCCGATGAAGAACAACCCTTCCTCCTCCTCATCTACTACCATTCTGATCAAGTCTGAGGAACACAGATGAAGCTAAAGCCAATACAACCAAACAAATTCAACCAGTGAGGTTCGAGCTTTTGCTTTTAGTTTTTCCTGATTTTTGCATGTTCTATTCATTCATTACAAATTGAATCAATTCAAGAATTGTTTTGTAAATATGATCGATTCAGTTATATTTGTAAACTCATATATCAAATTCAATAATTTTGGTTTGTCTAAAACATCATGTAATCAATTCAGATTTGTGTAGTTCAAATAATTTAGAGAAAATGTTGTCTAAAAATTCTGTTTTCTGTTTCAATTAATGGGTTTCACACCAGCACTCAATTCAGTATTCCGTGTATTTCCTAATTAATTCTCTTTTTTATTTGTTCACATTCTATTGTATTTCTTATAACTTTCAACATCTGTTTGTATTAGGGTTCTATTATTTTGTATTTACTCTTTGTATTGAAAAAGATGTATTCATCGCTAGAATGAAGAAATCGTGGAAAATAGAAGTTGAGATGAGTAAGGAAATTTGATTTTTGAGTAAGTGAGAATTCTCTTAGTATAAGATTTAAACCTCTTCTATATACACAGGGCCTAGAAGAATTTGGAATATTTTTTGAGAAAATTATATTTGATTGGAAATTAGTCTCAATGGTTCACTATCTCTTAGTCCACCGGATATTCCACTGGATATCTGCTTTTCCCTGTGCTTAATTGAAATTTACAAAGCTAGATTTACGAAGGTGAAGATCCCAATTGAAAATTTTCCCATCCCGCAGAAGTAAAGATGAAGATTAAAGTTGATTGTCTTGAGGTTATGCGTTTTCCCTTATTTGAATTTAGTTAATTTCCCACCATTTCCAGCTTGCTAAATCTCTAAAGTAGAGTTGAATAACTTTTACTCTTCTTCAAATTTTTCAAAAAAATTTAACACTCAGGTCTTACACAGAACTGTCTGAAACTTCTTTCTCTCAACCAGTAGCAAAATCTCTTTACTTTAGAGGTGTTGTGTGTAAAGAAAGAGGTTGAAAGCATATGGCTTCACATGTGCATAACGAAATTATAGTGATAATCATTGTGCTTTTTTTAATATAAGATGATGTGAGTACAGTAAATGAATTATAGCCCTTGGTTGGTCCAAAGAGGTGGGATCTCCCACCCCAGGAGCCCCCATACCCCGATCCTACAGGATTTTTGGGAGGATGTTAATCATGGTGACTCAGTCGGCCCAATTATGTTAGGTCTTTTTCCCGTGCGCACCAGAGACCCAGCCTTATTTCAGGTTCTGTGACCTCCACACACTTGGTCCAAATTTCCCACCACTGAACCAACTGAGCTACCCGTGCGGTTTTTTGATTCCCAAATCGTTAGTCTTTCACTTGATAATTATTTTAAGCCTTGAATTTAACAGTATTCATGTCTAACCCCCAACAATATCCTAACCGTTCAATCAAAACACATCCCTACCGTCTCCTCACCCTTTCCCCATCTGTTAGCATGTTCATGTATTTCTCCTCTGTTCACCCGTGATCTTTCAAGGGGGCTGACAACCCTCCCTTCTTTTATCAATATGTTCTTAATTCCGTGTTCTTCAGTTGCTTTACAATTTCGTCTATGTGTGACTATTATTTTTTAAATTGAGATGATCCTTCATCTATGGATTTGAACTTCTCAAATTTTCTCCCTATAAGCTATGGTTGTTTTAAGTGTGTAGTTTTTCTTGAAATGACATCATCAACACTGTTTTTCTTAAGTCATTATTTGTACTCTAACTTGGGAGGGTAAGAAAATACTAATGAAAGGCATTTTCCGATCTTGTGTTAGTTTTACCATGGAGAACACAAGGAGGAATGAAACATGATAAATGTTTTCAATAAATTTTTATTGTTCATTTTCAAATCAAATATCACTTTATTACTTTATAAAACTATGTGGATAGGATTTCAGATGTTAGTCAGCAGGTAGTTAGGATATGATATGAAGAGCAAAACATGAGGTCCCTTTGATATAATGAAGCACCCGCCTTGACCCTGATGTTTGGATCTTGAAGCCAATCATGGAGGAGTTTCCCATCCTCTCATATGTTGATTTCAGAGGTGACTTTGAAATAGCTTTTGTTAATTTGTCATTGCATTTGCAGAGAAGTGGATGAACTGAATTTTGCTTCAAAAAAAGGCTAATGTGAAATTATCTCTTTGCCTATTTTACTGGACTAACTTAACAAGATTTATCAAGTTCATTATTTGTTTTTTTAATGCATAAATTCTGATTTAATGCACTAATGATAGATACATTTGGTTTATTTTAAGAATTTTTCCAAACTAAAGTAATTGCATGATAAATAACTGATTACTTTTGTTGATATATGTTTACAATTGAATCATTTGGTTTCAATATGGGTGTAATTACTTGAAGAATCAGTTAGGCATTAGTTTTTTGACAAGTTCAAAAAAGTACAGCTTGGAGCAGCAACAAGCTAAGGGAAAAAAGGGGTCTGAGGAAAAGGCTTATCATGGGTGGTGAAGATGCACAGTTTACTTTCTTTG